ATAATTTGAAGATAATGTCAGTGTTATTGTCCATAATGCAGTACTATATATGTGAAAGAATGTAAAAATCTATTACACTTTATTACACTTGCTTAAGTATCAAGTAGCTGGAGTTTTCTGTATGCATTTTGGAGTGTATAAAGAGAAACACTTTTTAAAAAATATTGCAAACAATGTGAGGATTTCTTTAGAGTTAATGACATAAAATACAGTAAAAAAAGGAGATGCTTAGCCCTGTCTTTTGCTTGTTTATTCTTGATTTGATTGTTGGTTTTGGTTCTCTAGAGAACTGTAAAATGCCTGAGCTATGTGGCAGTCCCACCACCTCTGTGTCAAAAGACACTAATTTCCTATCAAGTATGTAGTTCAGATGTTGAGCTTTAAATATTAATTGTACTTAATCAAAAAATACCAGGCTTTTTGTTGCTGCTGGTGATGGTGTAAAGGGAGTGATTGTGGCTTTGCTTTCCCTTTGTGAGACCATCTGTAGCCAGGAGCAGTCTCTGGAAAGCAGACAGGTATTCTTGTGAATTCCTGCTACAACTCCTTCCCAGAGGAGAGAAGAACATGGGGAGAATGGCTGTGTATATAGAGAGCAGTAAGTTCTAGCTACTCAAAGGTACTCTCTGGTAAACTTAAGTCCCACTCCCAGCAACCCTGTCCCCGAAGGTGGAGAGCAAGAAGCTTCTCTTCTTGGGCACGGGAAAACACTGTGACGCAAGATTGGCTCTGTGAGCATCCCCCTGACAAGAGGTGCTGTATTTGAATCAACAAAGAAAATTCTAGCAGCTAGTAGTTAAAATGCATTCTGTCAGCATTTATGTAAGGTGGGGAAGCAATTGGGCCTTTGAAGAACACACCTCTTGATTTTCAGGTGAAGAAAGCCACATTTTACTCAACTTAAAAAGGGGAATCTGGTCTTAGACTGGTTCTTCTCCCTTGAGTGTGTAGAAGTTGGATTTAAATTTTTTTAGCTGAAGGCACATAAACGGACAGATACTTGTTTTCAAAGAATGAAGGGCCTTAATATTTTCAGACATAAAAGTTACTGAATTGAAAAAAACCAAAATTAGAATTAATCCTTTTGTATTAACAATGCCCTTTGTAATAAGAAAATCTGATAATTGCTACTAGTCATCCCTATCCTGCAAATAAAAAAATTATAGCTAACTTTCAAGCTGTTTCCTAAGTTGTAGCTGAAAACCTGTATTTAAAAGTCTAAATGTCTTCCAATACTATTATTTCAATTTCCTTTTGTAGGATGACACCACACATGATAATTAACAAGGGTTTTGAATGTTGCTTTTCTGACTGCCCTCGGTGTACTTGCTTAGTAATTAAAAAGCAAATCGTCCCATCCCAATATTTTTGAGACAGTTTTTTCGGGTTGGCACAACTATAATTTTAAAAGGGTGATAATGTCTTGTTAAGCCAATATCATTCCATGGGTAGCAATAATATATAAATAAAATTTTCATAAAATTATATTGAACATGTGAGATTCAAGTTATATTGAATCAGCAATTCTGATCACCTGGTTGTACTATTTGTCATCATTGAAATGATGTTTTACTTAGTTTAAAGTAATCTTTGTCTGATGCATTCACTCACTTCTTTTGGTGCTTGCATTGAAAGATGAGATTGGCTTGATCTTCCAATGACAAATATGGGGAGAACACAAATAGAGTTTGCTGAAGAAGGTAAGGGAAAGGCCCCAAAATTATATTTATGTACTCTATAAGCAATATCAAAATCCTCATCTTTTCCTTCTTACTGCAAAAGGTTTTCATTTCTAAATTTGAGATTTGGCCAGTTCAGAATTAAGCAGCAAGAGTAAGATATCTCCATGCCAGTGGCTAAATTTCTGTCTATGGAAGATAAATATTATTCTGCTCGTGTTCTGGTAGTGAAAAGCTAGTGAAGCTAGCAGGTGGCTTTCTGACACACAGATGATTAAAGATAATATTAAAGAATCCAGAATTCTACCAGAAGATAGGTGATCATTCTGGCTGGGATGTAGTCTCAGGAAAGATACTTAATACTTCCAATGTGCAACTTGAAAATAATAGGATAGTACTTTTATATTAGGAAAAAGAAGACCAGACTTACTGAAGATACTCAATATTTTACTTGCTTTTGCTTTGTTTGCTGCTACACTTAGATTGGAATTGTAGGACCATTTAGATTGGAAAGGTCCTTTAAGATCATTAACTCCAACCATTAAGCCAGCACTGCCAATTCCACCACTAAACCATGTCCTTAAGTACCACATTCATGTATCTTTTGGATACCTTCTGGCATAGTGACTCAACCACTTCCCCAGGGAGCCATGCCAGTGCTTGACAGCCCTTTCAGTGAAGAAATCTTTCCTAATATCCTGGCTAAACATCCCCTGGTGCAACTTGAAACTGTTTCCTCTTGTCCTATATTGCTTGTTTCTTGGGAGAAGAGACAGATCCCCACCTTGGTAGAACCTGCTTTCAGGTTGTAGAGACTGATAAGATCACTCCTGAGCCTCCTTTTCTCCACACTGAACAACCCCAGTTCCCCCAGCTGTTTGTTCCTCATAAGACTTGTGCTCCAGACTCTTCACCAGCTTCACTGCCCTTCTCTGGACACACTCAACACCTCAATGTCCTTTGTGTTGTAAGGGGCCCAAACATGAACACAGAACTTGAGTGTACTTGCACATATTTGACTGGTTTATATTGTTGAGAGCAGTTATTCACATTAGAATCAAAATAAAGGAAGGGAATTGTAATCCAAAAAGATTTCCAAGATGTGTTTCTTCTCTGCTCTGGGTTCTGAGCAGTCGTCTTAAGATATTTTTTAGTGCATTGTCTGCATTTCCAGGTGGAAGCTCTGAAATGCTTTGTGTATGGTAGAAAATGTGCATGAATCAGAACAGGCCCTTTTGCCACTAACAAATCATGCAAGGGAATCAACTGTGGTGTGAGTGTTTCCATAAACAAATTACTACCAGGTAATTCCCAAAGTCTGTTAGCTCCATGTCTGTTTAACAACCCTATTAATTATGTGAATGACTATTTTTTCTAGTGTATTTTTCTTCAGTTTCACACACTTGGTGAAAACCAGTACTAAGTGCAGAACTATTACTGCCTGCTAACATTTTCATCCCTGGAAGTTGTTGATATTTCTTTGGGTATGGGTAACTTGTACAGGATATGCAAGAAACTATGTATGAGATCTAAAGAATATGCTTGTACGTGTGGAGGTTCTGAAGGAAATACTGATGTAGGAGCCCAGTTTTTTGAAATAAATGATTTACAAACTCTTTATTTGCAAGGAAATGCCTACCGTGAAGGCTGACAGCTCCAGCAGCCTTTTCAGGACCAACCAATTGGTTGTGCATAGCAGCTGGACATGTCTTACCCTGGTCCCAGTTTCACTCAATCTGGTATGAAGGGCAGGAATGTATCAATGTGTATCAGCAATAGTGTGGCCAGCAGGACCAGGGCAGTGATTGCCCCCCAGTACCCAGAGCTGGTGAGGCCTCACCTCATGTACTGTGTCCAGTTTTGGGGCCCTTAATTCAGGGAGGACATGAAGGTGCTGGAGTGTGTCCGGAGAAGAGCAATGAAGATGGTGAAGGGTCTAGAGGGTAAGTCCTGAGAGGAGCAGCTGAAAGAGCTGTGATTGTTTAGCCTGGAGAAAAGGAGGCTTGGGGGGACCTTTTCTTAGAGGAGTTGTGGCCATATGGGGGTCACTGATCTCCTAGGCAACCAGCAACAGGATGAGAGGAATTGTCCTCAAGCTGTGCCAGGGGAGGTTCAGGTTGGACATCAGGTGAAATTTCTTCATAGAAAGAGAAAAGGAAAATTCTTCATAGAATTTGGAAAAGGCTGCCAAGGTCATAGGTCAAACCTATGACCAAACAGCACTGTGCCAACTACAAGAAGGCATTGGGCGCCACATCCAGTCTTGCCTTGAGCACCTCCATCTGTGAGGTTAGTTTTGGCATGTTTTGGTCCTTTCCACTGCACCTCACTTCATCCCAGACAATTGTCTTGTAGTCACTAAATCTCCCCATTTTCTTTCTTTTTTTTTCTTCAATTGCATTTCATTTGATCCTATCTCCTTTCCAAAGTGTTTGTAAGTCTTTTGTGTTTAGCAAAATTTCGTTTCCCTTGCCGAAATTCCATTGCCTTTTGGGAAGGGAAATAAAATCTTGAGAAACAGAAAAGAAGGACTTAGAAACACTCTGGAAAGGAGATAGGATCAAATGAAATGCAATCTAAGTAAAACCAAAAAAATCAGAAAATTGGCACATTTTGTGACTACAAGCAAATGGACTGAGATTAATGAGGTGCAGTGCAAAGTACCAAAACATGCCAAAACTAACCTCACAGATGCTGCAAAAGCAGGGAAAAATCAAGGAGGAAGACAGAACTTTGAGGGGAAGATATGAGAGACGTGGCATGGATACTGAAAAAAAGAATTTTGCCAAAGTGAAAGCCATCAAAAGGCATGGGATACCATGAAGTGCAGGGGCTTGAGCCAAAGCTTGCCAAAATTGATCCCCATTGAAATTGCAAGATTTCTTTTCCTTTTCCTAAAGGAGTTGTTCAAGGAAACACCCTCTGTATGTTGGACTCTGTGATTTCACTGGTCTTTTCCAACCTAGCTAATTCTGTTATTCTGTATGAAATTACCGAAGACTTTCTAGACACATTCTTCCTATCCCTTTCCTGCCTTAAAAGCTTCCAAAAAAGGTCATAGATGACTGATTTTTTATCTTTTTCCTTTGAATAATAGTCAGGATATATGCAAATTTTTCTTTTCAGACTTTTGCTACATGCTATTTTCTTGCTGGTGGCCCTCTCCCTTTCTCAAATTTTTGGCCTTGTCCACATTATTATTCATTAGTCCCTATCTTTCTTAATTCTGAAGTACAAAGTTCCTTTTCATTTTTTAAAGTTATTTTTTAAATTAAATTATCCTACAACCCTCTTTTTTTTTTTTTTTTTTTTGCAAATGTAAAAGTTCTTGATGAGGAAATTTTCCCTTTTTGGTACTTCAAAGGGAAATGTTTAAAGCTGTAAGGTACTTCATGCTCTTAACCACACTGTAGAATTATAAGTTAACTAATTTGACTGGAGCTTGCTTTATTGCATACCAAAGTCATCATATTGGGAAAGATGAAGAAAATCTGTAAATTTTTTCATGAAACCATGAGGGTTTGATTTAGGTGATGGAAACTTCATGAAAGTCTCTTTGTGCTGTAAAAATTAAGAGCAGACATGAATTATTACAACTGCTCAACATAACTTAATAGGGTGGAAACTTGGTAAACTGCTGTAATTTGGTTGCTCTGGAGTTCTGTGGCCATACCACATATTTCTTCATGTCTCATACCATGGATTTCTTCATTCCCCAGTGTACAGCATAGCCTGCTGCAGCCTGCATGAGAAATGGGACAAGTGTGCTTAGCTGTGAGTTGGATCCACTATAATAAGATTATCCCAGAGCTACACAGACCTCAGCAAGCAGCTATTTTAAGCAGGGAATAGCAGAGAACAAGAGCAAACTGCCATGAAATATGTCCAGCTGTCTCCCTTTCTAGAATTCCAGGATGGAAAGTGTTGCTGTGGTGTGCATACTGTGAGCCTCAGGTAGGACATCTCCCTTTCTTATCCCTTCATCCTCTTATCTCTCTTCTTTTTGGCAATTTTAATAGTTTAATGAATACTTCAGGGTACAACTATAAGTTTTAGTTCTAAACTTGGCTTGCAGAGAATAAACCATAAGGCTACTGGCAAGAGGCAGGGAGTTATTTCCAACATAATAGTTTGCACAGGAAAGCCATACCACCTGGTATGTGTTTGCTACATTTTACTAGTCTCCAATGGTTTAATGGGATATATTCAAATCAAACCACTAAGCCAAAGTTCATACAGCATTTAACAAAACATATTCAGCGTAATGCACAGCACTTTTTCTATATTTCAATAACTCTGGTTTCTTACTCAAATGCTACCAGTGCACCACTGGATATGTTCCAGTGCCCTGTTCTTGGTTTGTACTCCTATGGCACTCTCAAACATTTAATCAGTTGCCTGTAGAGGAAATTATTCCTCTACCTCTTTATTGTGTCCCTGGGCATGACTTTCTACTTCCACTATAAACATTGTCAAAGATAGGGTGAGGGGATTTGAGAAGAGTCCACAGTTTTCTATTCTTCATGCTGATAGTTGAGTGTATTTTTATTTTGTGAATGCAGTCTTATGCCTTATATAGGTCCCTTTTACAGTATGGTGCCTCCAGCATCAACCCTAAACCCAGAATCAGTAGGAATAAATGTCTGCTTCCAGGTGAAAAACTATTTACTTCAAAAACTCACAAATGGTCCTACAAAGAAAATTATTATTGCCTCTTTCTTTATTTAATAAATGTGGTTAATGTCTTAAAAGAGTTTTCCATTAAAGTGAAATTTTGTTACATGGCAAAAGGTAGGATATAATCTTTAATTCTGTCTAACACTCTGAAATTGAGTACTTTCCCCTGGTATACTGGTGTACTATTATTTATTTTTCTGTGATGGGATATTATGATCATGCATATTATAAATCTTTCCAGAGGGAATTTTAATGTCTTATAAGTGCTCATCTGGTCAATGTACTGATCTGCAGCCAACAATCCAAATACAAAGTGATTATTTTGAAAAGCAATCATAAAGAAAGTTAAGCACTTCTTGGATGCATTGGGAAAGAAGATAAAAATATAATGAATTATTTTAAGGATTTTAACCACAAATCAGAGAGGAACCTTGGAATAAATTTCTGTTCTCAATATCTCAGATGTAGCAAAATTAAAAGTCATAGGTATGAAGTTCTAAATTCTTTAGACTTGAATTTATGTACTGTTAATTGGACATGAGAACTGGTTCCTACAGAATTTGCTTGCAGAGGATTTCGAAATAAATGAAGTATTTAATTTATTTCATTTGACAAAACCTCAGTGAAGTAACATTATTGTGTAGCTCTTTCCACTTCCTTTCTGCCTTCTTTCTGGGTTGGAATATATAAGGAAAAGATTATAGTAAAGAAAAAAGATTTAGTAAAATTAAAGTGTATAGAACTTTATAATCTGCAGTGATCCTCATACTGGCTTGAAAGGAACAGAACAGACTCTTCACACTACTAGTGCACTGGTTTGGGACTTTAGTGATCATCACAAGATGTCACTTCTATGAACAGCATTGATATTGGCATGAAACCCCACAAGCATCTAAAACAGAATTTGCTGAAAGCATTTAAAAATAATTAAGGTTATTTTGATTTAATGACAGTTTGACCAAACACAGCAGTCAAGGTTGTAGGCTTTATAATCATGGTCATAAAGGATATTTTATCTATGATACCAGTAGTACTTATTGTTCCTATTTTCCTGTTTAGCCAGCGAGATACTTTAAATTTGAGCTTTCTTACACTGACTTTTTAAAGCATTTGAATAGTCTTGTGCAATAAAAGTGCAATAAGGAAGGAGCAGGAGGTTTCTGCATGTGTCTGTCTGTCTGAGCCACCAGGGGGGACTCATTCCTCACCTATAACTTTTCTGCAGCAAGTATCTGAAAAAAACACCCATGCCTGAACCAGGTCTAGAAAGTCAATTCAGCAGAGAGTTTGTCTTCTTTCAAATTCAGCAGAGAGTTTGTCTTCTTTCATATTAAGAGAGCTTTATGTAAAATCTTGTCAATCTGCAGTGCTCTTTCCACTCTGCCCATGAGTGCATCAGCCACCCAACGCATTGAGCAGCAATGCCAGACCAAGCCCGGCCACAGAGGGACCCGAGTTCAGCTTGGAAATCTTGTATATCAGTGGGGTACGGTCACTGCCACCCCCTGCCTGCTTTAGACTGACCTGGGACTTGTTGGACTGACAGAAGACTCAGCAGACAGCCTGGCTTGGCTTCTCACACGTTAAACTCCCTCCTTCACACCACTGGTCATGGCTTTGTGGCTGAAAGGAATATTTTTTGGCTGTATGTGCAAAAGCTATCTCTTCTTTCATAGCTGTTTCACAGCTCCTTTGTTACTGTCTCACTACTGCATTTCTTTTTTCCGACTATTACAGCCTTCCTGATTTATTTCAATTTCACTCTGTCTTACTACTTTTAAGCAAAATTTGTCCATCTTGAAACAGAATTGTGTTATTGCTATGATCACAAGGATGTTTTATAGCATCCTGCTAAACAACAGCAAAAATCTGTGTGTGATGTAATGTACTCTGGAGACTTGTCAGGAAAGTGATATAATTTTGAATTCCCACTTAAAAGCCAAATACTGAAAATTTCTTAAAATTTTGAACTCTGTCAGGCCAGTGGGACTCTTCTTGTGGTCTATAGAAAGATTTTGAAATACTGAAGGGAATTCTCTAGCTGCATTAAATTTTCAAATTTTTGTCTTATTTTGTAAATTATTTCCTGTAGTAATTAATTATTTGTTACTTTCAGGCACCTTTAATTCAATTTTCCCTTTCCTTAATTAATCTAGGAATTACCCCCATCTCTGGGCACAATCAGTCATGGGTTTTGTGCACATCACAGTCCCAGATGATTGCATTCAGCTCCATTTGAAATACATAATTACTAATGACATTTCTTCAGATGTCTGGTGTATTCTTAAAGCATGGTGGGCTTTGTAAGAAGCTCACATTAAAACCAGTGAGAGGTACTGGCTACCATAAAAATAAAAGAATTAACTTGGTTTTCATCAGTTGTGGATTTTTCTCTTCTTTAATATGTGCAGGAAACTGTATTTGAAATTATGCCTTTAAAAATCTTACCCCTGATGACTCAACTAAACTTGCTCATTACGTGCTTCTGGTAGTCATAATGCCATTCCACTTCCCCATTTCACACAGTTTTCTCTTTAATTTTTCACTCTTGGTTTCAGCTGCACTGTCTGGGGAAAGTGTAACAACAAAAGCAGGAATTCTTTTTCTTAACAAAATTTATTGTGATGATAACTGACAGTGCTGCAGCAGAATTAACAAAGATTGCAGAGAATTTGATAAATAGCAGAACTTTCCCCGAAGACACGTGACTGACGATGACTGTGCTGAATTTTCTTCCTCTTTCTCCCAAATGAAGTTTTATACCATCAGATACTGAGCAAAAAAAGTAACTATGTTTGAACTCCTTTTTTTCATTTTATTTACCCCTGGAGTCAGTGAATTAATTTGTACATCATCAGATCTTGAAATGTCGTATACTTTTTGTGGTAAGTAAAAAAATAGGTAATCCTTTTGTTAAATTTCTGGAATAATTACTGGAGTCTGAGGGACTGTGAATTTTCTTTTAAATTTGTTTCTTTTCTTTCTATGTTTCTTTGAGAAATACAGAAAAAGAAAAAGAAGTATATTTCTACTATTAATCACTCTGTTATAAGAATTTTACTTCATAGGCATAAATCTAACCACAAGGCTGGTTCCAGCAGCTAGGAGAGAGAGAATTTTATTCTCAAGTAAAGTAGGCATGTTTTTGTTCAGAAAATATTAGAAGATAATGGATTTAAACTAGTTTTGCAAGCACTCTGTTATATAAATGATACCTATTGAGTTAACCAGTATGTTACAATGACAAGCTTGAAGTATGTGAAAAAAAAGAGGGACTGTCGTATTCTGTCAGGCTGCAGTACCAATCAGGTTCTGAGACAGCATGGTGTGTCCCTCCTTGCCCTGTCTGTGTCATGGGCTGATATTTTGTGTGTTTTAAAAATGCAGGGTGGGTCAGTCACAGAGCAAATCTACTTAAAGGTTCATTAACATTACCTGGAAAATACGCTGATGCATTAAAAATATTTTTAGCTCTTGTCAGCATGATTAGCATAAGTAGGGATATTTTCAGTAGAAGACCATGCTGGTTTAGTGCTAATAAAAAGGTTTTATATCTTCAAAAGGGAAATAAAGGTACTTTTGTCTCTGTTTTTTTTTGTGTGCTAAATATCATCCACCAAAAATTTACTTCTCTTTACTTAAAGAAATATGATACTGTTTTTGTCCTTTAAATGTAAAAATAATTAATAATATAATTTTTAAAACATATTTAATATTTACCACATATATTCTATTGAGCAATTTTATGGCATATAACTTAAATACATTTAAAAATATGTATGTGGTTTTTGTATAACTGTATATTCTTATTATTTTATGGAGAAACCTATTCACACTGTCAATGTGCAATAATATTTTTTTCCTGTAGATTCTACAGCTCATTCTTTCAAGTTTAATCTGACACCTTGCAGCACAAGGAACAAACCTGTCTGGAAGGCTGCTCTTACCTGGATTCCAAGTGAGTGTCTCTTAACTAGACAATTATATTCTGGAAATGGTGAAAATGAAATACAACTGAAAGACTGACACTTCATCCTAAATGCCATGTGATATAGGAAATTGGTTTCTGGGGTTAAAAATGGAACAGATAAACTATAGTGATGGACAGAAATGAGGATTTGTGAAATGTGTTTGAGTTTTACTTGGAGCAGTTACCAGAGCCCTGCACGCAGTCTGTTGCTGTAAATGCATATCTGTGACAGTTTAGGTGTAGGTGCATTTTGGTCTTTTGGCCTGGACAAAATCCAGGTCTTTTAAAGGAGAGAGAGTATCATCAGGCCATCCAACTATGGTAGGACTTCTATGAAGAATATGCATGTTCCAAAAGCTGGAAATGGTACTGCATTTTGTGTGCAAACCTAACTGTGATCTTTAAACCCACCTTTAAGGCAGCAAGCTCAGCTAATGAAATGTTTAGGATCTGGTTGTATCATAAACTTCCCCTTCTGCATTAGGTTTACTTCCCTTGAAAGGCATTTTTATGATGCATTCATGATAGTTTCTTTGCAATGTGACCGTGGTCACAAGGGTCTTCAGGGTGAGAGAGAGGCGAGAATGTTAACCTCATGTTCAGAAGTCTTGATTTATTATTTTATGATGAATACATAACATTATGACTATACTAAAAGGAATAGAAGGAAAGTTCTCAGAAGGCTAGCTAAGCTAGCTAAGAATAGCAAAGCAATGAATAACAAAGGCAGCTGGCTTAGACCAAGAACGAGAGCCAGCTCTGCTGTGAGTGGTCAGTGAATCCAAACATCCACAGGAGACCAATCACGGATCCACCTGTTGCATTCCACAGCAGCAGATAACCATTGTTTACACTTTGTTGCTGAAACTTCTCAGCTTCAGCAGGAAAAATCCTAACGAAAGGATTTTAATGAAAAGATGTCTGTGACATTTGCAACACCTGCTTAAAACTAAGGTCTTAATTTGAGCACATGTTTATAGTAGCTGTGGAGCTGAATGAACTCTGTTTCCTTTACTGAAGAAATTAAAACAGACTTTGAAATTTCTCTCTCAAATATTTTTTAAGACTAATTTTTTGTTGTTGTTGAAAGCAACAATAGATTTTTTTTCCTTTTTCTTCTGGAAGTAGAAGTTTTCAAGACACATACCTTTTTAATTTTGGGGAAGTCTTACAAAAAATACAGTATTTTGGCAAAATCCAGTTTTTATCTAAACAACATGTCTCCATATACACTTTTCCTCTCCATCAGTTGTCATTTTCTAACTTGCCATGTTTTCATTAGGAAGTGACATTCACTTTTTGAAGATTGTCTTCAATGTCTGGTATGATGGTGCCAAAGCACTCCTCTGGAAGGACGTCCTCTGCAGCGGAACTGACGATGAATACTCACTGTGCGGAACGCTGAAAGGAGGTTGGTGTGAAAATACACAGGGCAATCAACCCATGCAAACACAGTTTTGGCCCCACAATCTAGACCTTGCTTGGCAGGCAGCAGACCTCAGAGCAGGCAATTCTCCAGTGCCAGAATTCCAGTGAAGTAGAAAATATCCAAATTCTTTATTTTAATATCCTTGTACTGCAGTTTCCATCTCCATAAATGAGGATTACTAATATCCTTCATCTGATGATGACACTTATTCTGAACATCTCTAAAATGACATGGAAAGATTGCATTTGACTGGACTGAACAGGAAATTTGAGAGGCACTGTGGGCACTACTAATATCCAGAACAAAGTTTATTTAGATATGTGTTTGGATGGTTTTTTTAAGAGATTTTATAAACCTATGTAGGATGACGATTTTTTTTTTTTTTCCAATAGAGAAGAGTGAATCCTTCAGTAGGGGCTAACAAATATTAACAAAATACATGCTCAGATTCAGAGAATCCAGGCAGGATGTCAGAGTAAAGGCCAAAAAGACCTGTAAGGATGTCAAAATACAGTCTGTTTTCCTTTCTTTAAGAATCAGTATTAGCTCTCTTCAGTTACCATTCAAGTGAACTACTATTACAAGTTAAATTACTGGAGTTATCACAGTAGGATTTGTCTGGAGGAGATGTTGCAGGAGCACTGTGGTTAATTTTTATTTTCTGATGTGGTTTCAACAAAAAGTAAGAGCTCTGAGAGAAGAACCAGATGAGGGCTTTATCAGTGAAAAAGTAAGTGACATTGGCAACTGCTGCTCAGAGATATTCCATATTGCTTTGAAATTACTTAGGCAGTCTGATTGATGGCTTTATGGTTAAGTAACTCTTTGTATTATAATTATCTCTGTTTTTCAGAAACACTTGAATCAGCATTTGACATTAAAGGCTCAAGATTAGAATTTCCAAAGGTACTTTTCAATATTTTATATAATAGTAAAATCACATACTTACAGGTATACTTTTTTCTGAAGAAAGATGTTCAGCCAAACTGTAGAAAACAGAAGAGGAAATGTCAGAAAACTTTCTTGTAATAGAATTGATAACAATAAAGTGGTAGCATCTCTTAAATGCTAGATGTTCTAAGGTTATTATTCCTCTTTCTTACTTTTTTTAAAAAAGAAAAGACCAAAGTAATCGGTTAATGTCACCTTAATTATTTAATTTTGTTTGGTAAATTATTCTCTTTCCTTTTACCTGTTTGAGTATATCCATTCATATTCCTTCTGCCCATTTCATTCTTTATTTTACATTTTCTTCAGATGCTGCTCTTTTACTCCATGAAACCTTTTTCAAAGATTTGAAATGGGATAACAGTATCCAAAAAGTAAAAGCAGTGCTTTACTGTTAAACCAGGGGCAGCACCAGTCCTCAGGTTAAGCCATTCTCATCCAACAACTGCCTCATCAGTTCTCTGAGCTTTTCCAAGACCCTTATCAACACTATTAATCCCTAAAAATGTCTCTAAGGGGCTCCTACTGGTCCAAAATCTCCACCATCCCCCTTAGCTCATGGGCCTCCAACAGTCCAAGGGATCTTGTAGCCCCAGAGCTTGTAACAGACAGGAACATCCTCTGCCATGAGCTGTCCTCCTATCCATGAGGAACTCATGGTAGACCTGACACTTCCTGGTGGGACTCTGCTAGACCAGGAAATGCTGCTCCTGAGCAGGCTGGCCATGAGAAGGGAGGTGAACACTGTTTTATGCACTCATATACCTGACTATACCTATGAGGACAGTCCCTGATGGGAATGTGTCTTTTTCAGTTCTAACAGAAATCACCAGAATCATTCCAAGAAGCCACTCAGACAAGAGCAGACAGTATTGTGGACTAATTTTCTTTTTTTTTTTTTCCTTCCCTGTTTTAGGGCGACTATAGTATTGTTGTGCAAGGATTCTCTGATGATTCTGAGAATAATATGCTCATATGCGTGAATGTCACCATGATAGTGAAATAAGATGCTTTCTGAGTGCAACAAACTTCTCAAATAATTCCAGAATATGGAGGTCACTTCTGTGAGCGACTGGAATCCAAGCTGCTAAGTAATATGCACACTGAACTTCCTGAGGCAGAATACATCATGTGCTGTCTGGGAAGCTCTAAGATATAGTCTTTCTCATTTGTAGCACAGCCATAATCAGTTGCTCAGCCAATGTGCCCAAAATTTCCGGGAATCAGGCTTCCTGATTAATCCATGGAATTACCCTGACTGGATGGCAGGCTGGTCCTGCATTTTGGTGCTGTGCCTTGAGTTACAATAAAGTTGAGTGCTTCAGGCTGAGCTAAAGTAATCAAGAAGTTTTGAAATTTTGAAGTGCCAGAATCAGAAGTTCATCAGTATTCAATTTAAAACAACACAGCAATTGAATTTGGGAACCCTGCTGTGAGGTGGTGGGGGAAGTTTTTTTGGTTTGTTTGAGGTTTTTTCTTTTCTTGTAACAATAAAACTTGTTAGTACAATCAATTTAAGAGATTTTTTTTTCTCCTGTTATTTTCTGATGTTTCTTCAGATGTTTCATATTTTTCTGCAAGCTGAAACAGAGGAGTAATAATTTGTTATGTGGTAGTAGCTGATGTGGATGAAATCCAAAGTGTAACACTTTTTTTTCCCAGTTACACTGATACAGTACAGCTGAGTTTCTCCATCCAGAGCTGCAGCTGCAATCCCTTAGAATGTTTCTAGCTCTTTCTCAGAACCCGAGTGGCAGAGGCCACACAAACTGTGTCCTTCAGATGTGGGAGGGTGGTGTCACACAACAGGTTGATCTATTCCTCAATTATTCCTCTAAGGTATTTCCAAAGTTTTCCTGTAGCTTTTACCCCTTGAGCAGCTGACACTGAGTACCCACCTGCCTTCTCTGTTGCTCCTCTGCACCCCAGACCTTCAGTCAGGCTTTGGTGGAGTATGAGATCTGGTCCTCAGGAAAAGGGCTGTCCTGTTTCCATCCTCAGCCCCCAGACAGCAGGGCTGGTGAATTTAGTGAGTTCAGAGACTTTTCCCCAACTAACAGGACACTGTTGAAGCTGCACATTGTGCTGGCTACCAGTTCATCCTGTCTAGCAGATTGCTTCCAAATGCCTGGAAAAAAAATAAAAGCCAGAACAAACCAACCTCTTTCAGACTGTTAAATACCAATCATGCAAATTAGAAGAAGTGAAGCTTTTAACCTCACTTTATACAGAAAGAAAGATGTTTTTCAAACTTGGTATCACAAAACTCAAGGAAAAACTCCACACCCTAGTTTGTAGATATTCCATTTAAAACTTGGTTTTAATCATAGGTAGTTTGGCTAAATAAAGCAAAATGATTAAGAGTCAATAAAAACAAAAGTAAAACTGCAGAATGACTGAATATAAGAAGCCATGATTACATATAAGTGATGGTGGCAAAGCATCTGTGCTTTCACTTGGTCCACAGACCATTCCAGGAGTAGTCCTAGATGGAGTATAGCAGCATGTTCTGCTTATGTTTGAGCTGATTCACTACAGTTGTGGTCAATTTACTCCTAACCTGAAATACCAATCAAAACGCAGCCTGAGAGCATGACAAGCAATACTTACTTTTATTTCAAATAGTGTCTGTTTCAAAGTATTGACCTAAGGAACAGTCTTACCTTATCATGTCCCTGTGTATACATTTCATGGCATCCAGCAACCAAAAGTCTCAAAATCATCTTCAGTGACAAGGTGTCCTGAGGTTTTTTTTGGCCTGAATTATCTGGGGTGTTAAAAGAAATATTTTGTTTATTAAGCAGCAAGTAACACAAGTAAGAGAGATTAACACTTCTGGAGATCAAAGACATTCATGTGCTCTATTTTACATAAGCATGTTCTAATGCTTTATGGATATTACAGAAAATTTACAGTACATGTAAAGGTATAAATAGAATTTCTGTCTCTGAATAGAGACTTTTACAGATAAACATATGCACTCAGTATCTTGCCTTGCAGACTTTTTTAATGTAGATCTTCAGCTGAAAGGTTATAATTGTACTTGCCAGCAGATAGGACAGCAAGGCAGAGAGCAGGAGCCACACTTTATAAAGCAAAGACTTTTCAAAGGCCTCAAGTTTTCTCCTTCTATGACTGGAAATTTCCACTTATTCCAATGCTGGTGACTGCCACAGCACATTCTCCCCTGGACAAGAGGATACAGATTTTGTTAAGTGTCAGATCATGCAAACAGCTTACCCTGAAATTGCTGTGATGCTGTAGGGTGAAGGGCTGAGCTGAAGGCAAAGCTTTGCTCTTCATGTCTGGTTCCTGGAACAGAGTTCTTAAAAGATTTTCCTTTCTTCCTTCTGCTGCTGTCCAGAGCTGACAACACTTATTTCCTTTTCAAACTTCCTTGAGCCTGTATTCAGGGCTCCACAACAAAGAGGAGTTTCCTTAGGATGCAGTGAGCTACTTAGGCTCTATGAAGACTAATCTGAATGTTTCCCTTTTCTTCACTTTATTGGTCCAGTAAACTTAGATCCATTTTTTGCTTCTTCATTTTCTGCCTCTGTCTAGAGTTGCAATGGTGTGAATACTGTGAAATAAAACACCAACTAAGATTTTCTTTCTTAAAATATTCTGTGAGAGCTACATGCCCTGAGATCCTTGTATTTTGCCAGGAGTTCCAGTGAAATGTGCACAGCCTCCTCCCGTGCAAACAAAAAAAAATCAAGAAAGGTTTTGTGTTTGGCATATTTGTGTGAAATTAATATTATTTGTGTGAATATCTAAAGCCTTCACAAATACCTCTTTTTCTCTCCCTCATTACTGTTGTTTTCAAGAGGCTGTCAGGATTTTCTGCAGATGGGAAAAGAGCTTTTCTTCACCCCCTCACCCTCTGTTGCCAAATATGTAATTATGAGAAGAAGCAGTTCCTGTACAATGTGGTTTCCAAAAAGACTGCACATTTTGAGATGTGTTATTACAGTTTTATTTGATAAAAGGCATAAAGTATTCATCATTTCAAGTGAGTGAAAGTCTGCTGACCACAATACATGCACATTTGCTGGCTGAATTTGTAACATCATTTGAGATAGATGCACAAAGATAATTCCATGTAATTCAGGTATTTCAGCAGCATCTCTTGTGTTCAGGGAAGCAATTCCCTTGGTCACCACTTAGCTTGGATGACACAAAGCACAGACACTTGGAACAAATAAACTACATGGTTCCTGCAGCAAGAAGGAGTTGGATTTAATGATGCAGGAGATGTGTCCTGATCTGTCTTACAGGCATCAAAGGAGAACCATAGCAGCATAAATCCCTTCTGCACAACATTATTGCTTGGTGGAAAGTGCTAACAATTGCCTTGGAAGGGTCTGTGTAGCACGTTTTCCTGAATGACTTCAGCTCCTTCGTTCTGCCCGCGAGTCCCCGCCAGCACGAGTGAGCTCAGGGCGGCAGATGGGGTAGTGACATTTCTAATGGGGAGAGAGAGGAAGGAGAGAGGAAAAGAGGGACTTCCTGCCTGCAGAGCTTAGGGGAGAGCGGACAGGAGAAAGGAAATTTGGAAAGTCTTCTTGCTGTCAATAGAAATTACTGGACTTTGGAAATCTTGGATAATAGGCACTGTGCACACGTACTTGTGTTGTGGATCCCAGGCACCCCTGTAGATCCCTTGGCTGCAGTAGTTGGGTATGTCCATAACCTCTTTTCTTCAAGATATATTTTACTTCTGGCAAAAAGAGAAATATATATATATATATATATATAAAATATGCATATATTTGGCCAGGTATAACAACTTCCCAAAGATTCTGTATGGGAAAAAATAAACAAAACAAAACTCCACAACATATTTTTTCCTTGAGCTTTAGCTTAAATGGCTGTCTTAGCTATGAGTATTTTGTTTTCAAATTCTAAGTTCTTGCTAAAATAATTTCTTGCTCACATAACTAAAAGCAAAACTTTTAACAGTGAGACTGGCTGTTTGGTCACAGGAAGGAACAGTCACTGTACTAAGTATTTCTGTACTAAGTACTGAGACTTCTGTCTATTTCCCTGTGCTGCATAAAACCTTTGAGAACTACAGAGTAGATTGTATTTTTTTCTTTACTTGTAACTTCTGCCAACTGCACACATCCACTGAGTGTTTGGTTCTCTGAGAAGTTTGACATCTCTGCTGAAGTACCTCCATGGTGATTATGAGGTTGGTTTACTTCTTAAATACATTCTGTTCAGTCACATTCCATTTAGACTTTTCACTGTATTACCCACAATTTTTATATTTTTAGCGTACCAGCACAGTTTTACAATTTCAGTAATAAAAACTAAAAAAAACCCCAAAACCACAAAAAACCCAAAAGAAATGTCATACAATAAATAAACACAAAAGACAAAATAATAGCTTTAGTCCTCTGAAAGCAATAGAGTTGAAATATCAGTCCTTCGCTTACCAGATGCCTAAAGGAGGAAATAATAAAAAACATTGTGCATATGAGAGTGAACAATTGTTCACTATGACTGTGAATTTATTTGACCCTGTTTTAGAGTGATATGACTTCATTTCACATCTGAATATCAGCTGAACAGACTGGTAGTTATCTTTTCTAATCATGTACCACGCTGAAGTGGTGTGCTCCATGTCAGTGGATATTGCATGTAGTGGAATTTTCCCAGTATCTTTAAAGCATTAAAGATACTTTTATGACACAGATGTAACATAGACAGAACAATGAACATTATTGATGAAATTTTCACAGATGGCTGTCAGAAAACACAGTCAGCAGGAATATTCCTTTCTGATTCCCCAAGCTTCATTCCAGTGATTCTGACTGCTAATTGTACAGTTTCTCTAACCTGTGAAAGTTTTTGTGGTTTTGATATTCTAACGAAGAAGGGAAAATGATCCTAAAAAATAATCTAAAGTAATATATTATCTAGAACAACTTAAAATATTAAAACAAAGAAACAGTATTGTCAGATGAGTAGTAGGGGAAAAAAGCATTGTAGGAAAGAAATAATTTTGATTATTGCAGAATGTTGTGTATTTATTTTGACCAAATAATTTTTTAAAAAGGAGGTTTCAATTCCTTTAAATCTGAGACATCTCAGCAAATAAGAAATATTTTTCTGCTTTTGTTTTTTGACAAATAGTTATTATTCAAGCAAAGATTATTGTGTCACAAAATCACTATGGTTTTGCTGATAAGCCAGCACTTGAGCTGTGATGGTTGTACTCATATTAGCACGTACTTGACAGCCTGAGTTGTCCTTTTGGGCACAGATGTACACCCCACTTCTAAATGACTCTATATCCCTTTTTCTGGAATTGATGGCAACATTACAATTTTGCAAAGAGTACGACAAGAAGCAAGTTGTTGGGGGAGTAGATCAAATCATGTATTTCGACTTCGTAAATTATAATTTTCTTTTAGTACTTCTAGTTTTATAGAAGGTAAATGCTCCAGAAAATAGAACTGCTAGACAGACTGATAAGCCTCCTCCATAGGCACCTTTAGGAGTATATGGATAGAATAACCAAAATTTGACTAAAATAAAATATTTCAGTTGGAAAGGACCTCAGTGATCACCTCATCCAACTATCTGACTACTTAAGTGTGGATCCAAAGCTAAAGCATGTTTTAATGGCACTCTGGACTTGATGTGCCAACCTCTGATAAATTCTGCTAGAGGTGTTGAGTGTCTCCAAATCTCCTTGAAGCTGTGAGTTGGACATATTCAGCAATGTATCATTTTATATATCCCAACCTTAGTTGCAGTCACAATGCAAACTATTTTATTTAAGTGTAGGTGAGAGGTCTGTGATAAAATAAAGAAGTGGTGTTTCCTTCCAGATTGGGATTGGTTCTACAGCAAATATTTTATACAAAAGTTTCTTTGTTCAAGATGCTAGGCTGGGATGTCTGGGAGCAGAATGGGGAGGAACACAGAAGGAAGTGTCTTCTCCTGGCCTGCTGGAGGGAAACAGCCCTGTGCAGAATCCACAGCCACTGTCACTGCTGTGGTGGGAGTGGAATCACTGCTGCTCGCTGCCCTACTCTCTCTTCTTTAACAGGTACCATCAATTGCTGTGATAGCCCTACTTCTTCACCCAAAACCCACAATGTTCTGTGAGGAAATACAGAATAAGATTATAAATATAATTTCTGTGTTGGAAACACAGCAGTAAATAAGGTAAAGAGTATACGTGGTATAAACAGTTATCTAAAATATACATTCAAATGCAAAATGTTTGAAATATTGATCCACAAACACCACAATATCCATAAGTCAAGCATTGATATTAGGTTTATTTGAAGGAGATGACTTGTTTCAAATATTCTGTCAATACAAGGATGATTAAGACACCATAATTCTGTGACAAGTGCTAATATTCTCCATCAGCTCGAGGTATTAATCAATTACAATTATAACAATCTGGTTTTTTAGCACTTGGATTGCAGTTGTGCCTCCTGTGAGTAGCTTGTAATCAGGACTGTTGCTTCCCTGCTGCATACCATATAAATATTTATGAAATTAGTAAAATAATATTTTAGGGGTTTTTGAAATGTGAACCATAGCCAGATCCAGAGCACCTACTAAGGATCTAACACCAAGAGGGTGACCTGGTATCCCTTAATTCTGCAGTGAAGATTGTTTGGCCTCTCCAAAGAGCAACCCACAAATCCCTCACAGTGTGGGACTGGTTCTGTGCTGTGCAAGATAACTTTCTGCAGAGCATGGCAGACTGAAACAATTCTTGTTTTCCAATGCAATTTCCACTGTAATTTGTATTTTAAGGAATTAACAGTCCAAAAAGCACATAGCATGACACAGCAGAGCATGTGCCATAACCTAAGGATTTTGCTGGACTACTGAGGTAGAAACAAAGCCAGATTCCTAACTCTGATTGGTCTTGACCTTATGCCTTGTTTGGATGTTTAATTTGATGCCACGTGTGTTTGCCATAAAATTCAGCTGGTTTTTTGCAGTGGTCTAGCATGTTTCTAAGGGATATCACAATGATCACATTTCTGGGAAATATAAGACGGTAGGCAAATTAAGCTACCTTGTTTTTCACCACAATAAAGAATGTGGCTGTGTTATCAAAAAGGTCCTAACACAAGAAGTACATTGGTGCAATCTTTAGACCAAATCACTGAGTCTTTCAGTGATATTCTCTATTTTTAGATTCTATCTGAAGGCCGAGAACCTAAGAAAAAAGCAATATATTTTGAGGTTCGTTGTCCTAGTGTGCACTGTAGTCAGATGGAAATCTTTCTGTCTGGTGTCTCTTTCTGGGCCTGGGTGATTTTCCTTGATGCACATAAAAGGAAACTGCACAATATTACCTGCATGCTTTATATTAGTTTTGCTATATTCATTTCTGTTGGTGGGGGGAGGGAAGATAATCTGTGACTTCAAACAGGTAAGATAAATACCTAAAATTTCAGGAAAGAAATGGAATACACTCTATTTATGATTTAAATTCCTAATAACGCCTCCAAAGTTGCATCAAACCCAGAATAAAAGGAGGAGATTGGCTGCAAGTTAGCTCCTCTTTTTGTAAAATCAACAACTGCTATCAGAATTACAGCACTGGAGAGCTGATCCTTGCTGACGGCTGACAGGATATTTTCTTGCTGAATAAAAAATGAGCAATCAAACATGGAAGGGAGCCCTCTGCATAGAATCAAATTCTACACATTCTTAAGCATGGCACGAACTTTTTAAGCCAATGAAGCCATTTTTAGGAGGATTTTTGCAGCTTGACCCTGATAAGGTGAGTGCCTGCACATAATGTGCCCTTGTCGCCACAGTCCCGAATGACTCAACTTGCAATGTGGAAGAAAGATTTTCACCTGTAGACTGTCAGCTTGAATCTGTCAAGCAACCAGAAGTTCCTGCTGCAAGAAATT